CCAGACCAGGGGGCTGTGTTTTCCATTCCTCACTGATGGGGTATATAGCAACTTCATGGCAGAGGTGCCACCAGCTTTTTCTTACTTAATCAATGCCATGCCATTCAATGCTTCCAGCATTTGAATCCGCCGATAGCAATTGCACCTGCAGGGAGAAAGGAGGATTTCCTTTTTCCGCTTAATCTGAAGGTCCTTGTGCTGGTGCTCATCTGCAAACATTGCAAAGCCTTTTCATCAAGTTAGCTCCCGAGAAATGAGATTTATGAAGAAGATAAATTAATTTTCATTGGAGTGATTTCAACATTTGGCAAACATTTGTTGCTTGACTTGCATTTTCTGATTCCTTTAGGATGGGTTTTTGCTTGAAGGACATGTTGTTTATTTTGAAACAACTTTTTCAACTTTTTACATCTGTATTTGAGGAAGGAATTGTGGACCTAATTTTTTAGGTAACTGTTGTTAGTGTTAAATTTTGATTAGTGTATGAATTTTCAGCCATCTCCATGTACAGGCAAATTAGCCAGGGATTTTGAACTTTCTCTTAGGGCCTTGCACTTGATCAAACTTAATTTTGCACAGAGCATTGTCTAGCTGTAGAGACAGATATCAGGACAGCATGTTCAGTCCTAGATCTATTATTATATGAATGTAGAAAAGGGATGTATTCCTGTGTCCTATCCCCACAAGATAAATATTGTCTGTCTGCCTTTAAAAAGATGTTTTGGCATCTTTAAAAGGCAGAACCCGTACTCGTCCTTCTATTATATGTTTGTGAAATAATATATATAATGCAGTGAATTTATGTATGATAACAGTAATAGCACCATAATTAATATAAAATCATGTTTTGCAGAGCTGGAAAATGGTACTGTGAGCATTTCTTCTTCATACATCTGACCAAAGCAGGAAGCCACTCTGATTTACACACTATATGAACTACAATGAAAGGCTGTTCCCATTCTTTTTCATAGAGATTTTAATGAATAATCATTAATACCTCATCTTAATAACTTTTCTTCACTTTACAGTAATGTCATGTTTAGTAGGGAGTCATTCTTTGGATCAAGCCTCACAAGAAAACTTAGGTATACACGTTCAAGTAACAAATGAGCTTTTCTCTTTTCATATTTCTTGCATGCCATTCTCTGCTTGTATTATTACTATTATTATTATTGCTACAGTACTTCATCTAATCACAAGAAAAAAAACAAGATGAGATGAGAGTGAGAAGTTTCTTAAGCATAGAAAGGAAGTTGCATGATCTTGCAGATAGTTCGTTGTTCTGCTGTTCAGAAAACACTGGGTCTAGTCTGGCTCTGCAAGTGATCTTCTTAGAAACAAGTGCTTTTATTTCTGTTCAATGGCAATGATACTGACCTACTCTGCAAAGCATTTAAAAATCTATAGGTGAAAAATATTCTATAAGATCTAAATACCATTTTTTATACAGTCCCAACCCTGTCAATAGAAATACAGACAGGTAATTTTGTGTTTGAGTTCAGTGGAGCAACTCCCCTACAATTTCATTTAAAGACTGTGTGTCAGAAAGGGAAAACAAGCAGATAATTTTGATCATATTAATATTAGGAACATGCTTAAATATCTTTCTGAATTATCACCTGGGACAGGAACTTTATTTCTACATTCCTCTTCAGGAAGATAATTAGTAGCATTTGAGCAATCTGAAAGACGCATAATTGGAAATACTAATACTCTGACTACATTGTCAAGCATTTTATTTCATTTTATTCCATACAAACATCTTCATATCATTCAACTTTAACTCATTGTTCTCATTCTTACCTCATTCCTCCAGCATGAAATCATCTACAGGCAGCTCAGCTTTTCTAGCAAAACTCTTCAACTTTTGAAGGGCACCTGGAGAAGTTCCATATTTTGCTGGCTGACTGGTACATGCAAAATTGTTGAGAGACATTGACTTTGCAATTGCTTTGCTTCCCAGTGGTTAATATAGATATACTTTCACCGAAAAAAGACAAAAGTAGGTCAAAATCCACATGTTTTCTATTTACATTACTGGCTACTTCATTTGGCAAAGAATATCTATGCTGTACTCACAAAGAAATGAGCTGAGATTGTTGAGTCTGTTGGACTGGATGTGACACTGTTTGTTCTTGCCTGTTTCCAATCATTTTAGGCTGTGTATCTGAAAAAAAAAAAAAATAGGGGGGGGAGGTTGACAAAAGCATATAGTGTGGATGACGGAGCTTTCTGTTTCTGAGGGCAGCAAAGTTCAGCTTAAGATCCTCCCATGTCTGGGCAAATAATGTGGATGGTAGGTGAGTTTGGACATAGAATTATGCCCACAATTACATACCAATGAGAACATGCACCACGAGAGAATAAGGAATTTTATTGGCTAAAATAGGACTGCTTCAGCTCAGACATTAGAAACTTGCAAGCTGAGACATCAAAATTCAGACTGCAAAGTAGCTTTGAAATAAGGCATTATTTGACAAGAAGTTGCAATCGATTTTTCTGAGGTTAAACATTTTCTGAGTTCCCCTGTAGAATTAAATGTTATTTAATTTACTTACAAGGGAAGGTGGACTGGCAAAAGGCTGGAAGCACTCTGGGAGAGCCAAATGCTCCCTGACTTATATCAAGAAAACACATGGACTGTTTGAGATCGAATGGATGTATTTACTTCAGATTAAATATTCAAAACATTGCTCTCATAACATCAGTTTTGTGTTAATTTCCATGACGAACAATTCAAAGCAGAATATTTCTGACAGTCTCATTCAAAAGTTTGTTCCCTGAAACTAAGTTAACTTAAATAAATGTAGCTCCTAATATAGTAAAATATTGAAGTAAACATGACTGCCTTTTGCTTTCAGTTACTTAAGACCAAAATGAAATAAATCTAATGATTAGCTCAATTATAAAAACATTGAAGGATTTTCTGATTATTATTACTGGTTGTGAGAGTGAAACCTGCTAAATAAGTGGCAGGGAGCTGTGTTTGATTCTCTGTTAGAATTAATTCTTTATTTTTCTTCTCATACATGTACTATGTTTATGAATCTTCAGCAGTAGGCAAAGCACAGAGAGGAGAGTATCTGGTTTGCATGATGGGATGTAACTGCATTATATCCTTGCATGAGTGTCTCTGGACCAGTTTTCTAGTTCAGTGGTTCCCACTCTTTATACTGAGCAAGAGCAAAATGTCTGCTGCAGATGCCAGGGATCTCCTCAACTCATTCTACACCCAGCGACCAAATTCTTCTCTCAGATATTCCCAAATAATTCAGCATTCAGCATCAAGGCTTCATGCGCTGAAGTCTGCACTGCATCCACCTCCCTCCCTTTATGGCTGTTCATCCTATTTAGTTACGGAGTTATCCCCCAGGGACTCCTCCTGAAAGACACAGGTTTGGGTGAAGATTTTGTTCCACCACAAGAGAGAGGGTGCAGTGGAACATGAGACAAACAGTGATCATATAGCTAAATTGGCCAGAGAAACAACTCTACACTCTTAGCAGCATTTTGGGGAGACATGAATTCCCTCCAGTTTCTAGAGTTGCACTGGAAATCAGGAATTAGGCTTTTCTGAATGTAAAAAAAAAAAAAAAAAGCTGACTGAAGAGGGATCACCATCCCAAGGAGAGCGAGGATAACTAATATTAACAAGAGGATCCTGAAAGACAAGTGCAGCACATGAGCCCATGGGTGGGAACCGCTGTCCTAGCCACTCTTCATGAAGGATGATGTGCTCTGCGCATGCTTCATACTCTGAGACTGAGGCATGCGCATGCTGTTTTAGTGAAGGAGACTGTGTCATGAAAACAAATGTTTCCTTACTCTTGAAAAAGAAAAAAAAAAAGGGGAGAAGAAAACAAAAACCCCAGCAGACCCAGACTTAATCCCTTCAAAGAGAAACTAAAAAGTCCTTTGTTTCTCTGATGAAAGCTAGCCATTTGTCTGTAAAAAAACTTTTGGTTTTGGTTTTGCATACAGTACATTGTTGTATTTTTCAAATGAAGCTGATGAGTGATTTCCTAATCATTCTACTGCTCTGGCTGCCTGGATTCAAACTAAATTTTCTATATTTCTTGTATAAACATACTGTTATGACTCTAGCTGGTACTTTGGGGATTAATTATCAGCATTCAATTAATGAGATATGATTCAGTTCAGGTAATTTTAGCTTCGTTAGAGGCCTTTTTTATTGTTTTATAAATTTAGATCCCTTTCTAGTCAACAATGAGAGACAAGTTCTCCCAGCTGGCAAGTCATCCCAGACAAAAACAGGTCTGAAATGCACTCTGCAGGTTGCCAACTCCCCGTTGACTTAAAAAAAAATCTAGAGAACAGTCTTGGATATGACATTTAACTTTTTGGACAGCTTAAGAAAGACAGTATAAATTCCAGCCTCTAAACGTAAAATGCTGGAGCAACAACTGGTTCCAATTATTTTCCTGAACTAACACTTACCAAAGCAAAAAATTACCCTTGAAAGACAATTTGTTTTGCTTGGGGTTAATATTAATCACCTTAAAAAAAAAGTAAGTAAATTTTTTAAAAAGCAAGAAAAGCTGTGACTATATATACAACAGGAAACACTACAGCAGATAACTGGTCTTTTGTGATGAATGCTGAGAAATATTTCAATCTATTTTGATTTTCAAAGAGCATATGAAATCTGGGACCATATGAAATCTCATGATTCATTTTCTGAGATAGCTATGTGGCAAAGATTCCTGGCCTTTCATTGAAATAAATGATGAGGTGAATGTTTTGGATTCTCTGTGCTGTCCACAGATCACTTTTGCTGTTGGTCTGGCCTTTATAGATCCTTGCACTGCCTTCTTGTCCTTTGGTAAGGAAAGCACTTCCTATAGGGATTTCAAGGGGCATATTTGAACAGATACAGCCTCTGATTCCAGCTTATTTTCCTTGCAGGATTTTCCTAAGTCAGTTTTCTTCCATCAGCTAGTTAGCTCACCCCAGAATCATTATGCCTCCACTGACAGAAAATTCCACAGGCTAATGTGCATTAATTTCATTTGAAGGTATGTGCTCCAGAAAGTTGCTGGAGTCAGAGGCCATGTATAATGACAACTATCTCCTTCCATTATAGTAATATACAGTTATAAAAAGGCAATAGGAAACCTCTGTGTCACTATTTTTCTACTTCTTGAGCTTTCAGGTTCTATGCCTTAAACATATTCTTTCTATTAGCACGTTTCTATACTGTGACTAAACCAAATCTTGTGAGATTTAACGGATTATCCTAAACCAATGGATTGTGGGTGAGCATGTCCCACATTTGAGGAAATTCAAGTTTTAAGCTAGATTTCATCCTTATAGAAGCTTCCTTCTGATTCTCCAAAGTCTTTCTGAAAACTCTTGGATCAAGATCTTGAAATCCTAATATATATCCTCCTTACCTAGGAGGTATTAGATACACTTCTGAAAAAAAAACATCTGAGATTCACCTATCACAAGTGACTGGTTTATTCTCTCATTAGGAAAAGCTGAAGCAACAAGCCTGTTGCATATACAAAGTTTTAGACCTGGAGGAAAATGTGTTTTATTTTATTACAGCAGAACACACTTTCTCTTCCTAAAATTATTTTAGTTTATTCCACTTTGTAACTTATTTTACAGACTCTTTCAGTCTACAGAGATTACCCCCTTGGCAAGAATGCTTCATTGCTCTGTTGTTTTTTCACACTGAAAACCTCACAAGCTAACTCTGTCTGGCATTTGGGGTCCCAGAAGTTTACATTGCTTGGCTGACTCTGTTGTCACTCAACTAGATATTTTGTGCCTTCCCTTAAATTAAAATCCTATCATGATGTCATATGCTTCTCGGCAATCCTCAACAAAATTAATTCCTTCTTCAAAGTGTGCTCTCATTACTCGTGAGGCATTAGCATTTGGTTTCCCTGCTTTGTGCACAAAAAGTCATGCATAAGTCATTCAGATGACTTTAGTTGTTTTCACCATTATTTCATGCCCTTTGGAAGCTTACAGTTTAGCTTCTTCATGTATTTTTCCTACATATAGTATCTGAATCTTACAAAAAAACTAATTTCTCAGAAGTAAGATAGAGTCAAAACAAATTCTTTGCTTCACAAAGCACCACTGCTCTGAAACAAGATCTCTTAAAGTTTAGGGAAGTGATAGTTATGTTGAAAATAGGTCACAAGGTCATCCCTATCTTGTTAGAAAGAAAATTATTTGTTGGGACCCTTCACGCATCATTCTTCACTGATACACATATTAGTTTGATCACCAGCTTCAGTCCTGGCAATTATATATAGAAGACTTGCAACAGCTGTGATCTGCAATTCTTAAGCCAAGTGGGAAGTTTGCATGCTGTAAAATTGCGGTATTCTTGTTAGGACCACTCCTGCTTTGAAAGTTGCAAAGTCATCATATGTGTCTTTAAATCCATCTCACGTTTATCATTATGGACAAATTTCTTCACAGTGAGGCCGACGGAGCACTGGAACTGGCTGCCCACAGAGGTTGTGGAGTCTCCCTCTCTAGAGGGAGACCTGCTTCGAAGCCTGCTTGGACATGGTCCTGTGCCACGTGCTCTAGATGACCCTGTGTGTGCAGCGGGGTTGGACTAGATGATCTCTAGAGGTCCCTTCCAACCTTAATGATTCTATGATTATAAGAGGAACATCTTAGAAACTTCTACTGCAGTGGGGTACTCTAGCAGACAGAGATCTGAGATGGAAATACTTGTTTCTTTCAAAGAACTTTACCAGTAATAGGAAGCTTCCAAAGACAGATGTCATTAAAACACAAAAATGATCCACCTGACCAAGACAACTCCTTAAATAGAGATCAGGTAGTTCTGTGAGCTGGACCCTTCACTAGCAAGGGCTCCAACTTTGCTTTTCCCCAACAGCAAGTTCAGTGGCTTCAGCTGAAGAAACTGTGCAAATAATTTTTCAGATACAGGTAAAACCTTCTTCTGGTCACCACTGAATTTTCCTCCTTTTTGCAGCAGGAACGAGTTTTGCAGCAGGTCTCCTGTGCTGCTCAAAAATCTGCCAGCTGTGTTGGCTTCTTCTGTCTGGCCACAATCTGCTTGTCCTTCTCTCTGCTTCAGAGGCTTCTCTAGGCTGTTTGCACTCAATTCATCTCTATCTAAGGCTGTCCCACACTGTAATATCTAGGAGTGGTTTAAAAGGCAGACTTCTTTCCCATCCCTTAGCTCCACAGTTTTTAACAAATGTGCGGTAAGCAAGTACTAAAGTAATAAAAAGAGAAGGTAAATCAAATACTTCTACCATCTTTCTCCTACAAAGTCTTCAGATCATAATTAAGCTGATTCAATCACTAGCAAATAGCTTCTGTGCTCCTGCTTTCAGTGGTATTCATAATTGCCTTTAAGATGGTTGTGGTCATCAAGCTGTAAGAAGAGTTGCTGATGCTGCTGAGATAGGTAGATACAGGCAGGGAGATACGATTTTAGATATGCTTTGTCACTGAAAGACAAGTGTCTTTGATCACTAAATCTGTAAGAAGACGGTGCAAGGAATTATCAGAGGAACAAGTACATCACTATATCACAATTTGCATGGTTCACCTCAATTGCTACTATAGTGAGAGAAGTATGAAATTGAAGAGTGGCAAGAACTGAGCAACCTGTTCTATCTTGTATCAAATAGTTGCTTGGTGATGTCTTTCCAGTGTTTTGCTTGTAATTTATTTGGTCCATAGCACATCTAAGTTTTTTTTGCTCCTGGCTATGCACATGAGTTATTTATTTAATAGCCTGCCATGAACCCAATAGTTAAATAAAGCAATGAACTGAAAGGGCCAAGCATCCTTATCGTTAGACAATATAAGTGCCTAAATAGTGCTGTTTCTTGTCTTAATGATAAATGTAATGCTTCTGACATTCTAAAGGAGCAGAAGCACTTACGTGTTATGTAGAGAACATAGCAAGACCCTCTGGTAACATTTTTAACATTGATAAAAAATGCTCATAAAAAGTAGTTAATCATCTGTGAAGCTTAGTATTTACAAAGACATTGATGTATTATGGTAGCCCCAGCAGTGTCCTTATGCACAAAACATTTATTTAGCCACTTGTGTACTCATGAATACAAGTTAAAATTGTACAAAGGAGGAAAATGATTACTTTTGCTTATTTTGTAGCCAAAAGCTGGGTCTCTTGGATCGGGTTCGTGGTACCAATACTAAAGGAAAGCTATTTACCCCTCTGAATGTAGATGCCATTGAAGAAAGTCCTTCAAAAGAGCCTAAGAATGTTGGCTTGAATAATAAGGAGCGTTTTCGCACAGCATTCCGAATGAAAGCGTATGCTTTTTGGCAAAGCTCAGAAGGTAGCCCTGTGTTGATTTATTTCTATCCATTCCCTTTTCTCCTCATTGTACTTTATTCCTCTGCATCTTCTGTTGAAAGTTTGCAACTTTCTTGGCCAAGAATGGATTGTTCCTGGGTTTACGTGGCACATTGGGAAGGTTCCAGAAAACAAATACTGGATTCCAGGCAAAACAAGGCTTGAAATAAGTCAGTGGCCCTCCAAAAAACAGCAATCAATATGATATAGAGCCTATGATGGAATCAGCTTATTTGAACTTATTTGCTTCCCTGGCTGATTTCCCGCCTGCTCTTCCTGATGCAGCTGCCCCATGAGCGTCCATGCAATGTCGCAGGGCATTTTTCTTCTCAGCATCCCAGGACACCCATTTCCCTGTTCTTGTCCAACAATATCTATATAGCAATTTTTCCTTTATTGTGCTGCTAGCCTCTGCCAGAGAAGAGCCTCAGGAGTGTTAGGTGTACTACCATGGACAGGGTCTGGCTGTCCACACAGGGGCCGTGGGTGTCTTCACCCGTGGAGTTAAGAAAGCTCAAAGCAGTGTGGGAAAACAAGTTGACTTTTTCTCCCTTTCATAAGACCATTTTGGTAAATACTTGTAAAAGCTCCTAAAACCAGGAACTTTTAAGTACATTTGAAAAGAAGGAAAGATCACAGTATTTCAAAAGCGCCTGGAATTCGAGAGGAATTCCCCTGGATAATGTGTCTTATACCTATGCTCCCAGAATTTTGAATACAAGAGTTGACTAGAGCAAGAGGAAACTGCTACAGATACTCCCTTTCTAAATTACATTTTGTTTACATAATACTTTAGCAAAATACATCTCCCTCTGCTGATCCTGTGGTCAGTTGTTCACACTTCTTTTTGGCCTGCTTTGCAGATGCGGGAACGGGGGAACCCATGGCAGAAGATAGAGGTGACAGCAATGAGTTCCTCATGGAAGATATGATCCCCACGTTCAAGACGGCCATCCGAGCTGTCAGGTAAATGTCCTCTCTGCTCACTTGGTCTTTGAAAGCTGGTGTTTCAGGAAATCACATTAACACAGTTTTATACAATTTCTTGTCACTATTGATGTTTCTTTTAAATGCAAGAGGTTAGATTGTTATAAATATGTTGAGAATCACATGTGGTTAAAATCCTATTACAAAATATACAGAAAGGAAGATGTCTTTCAGTAGCAGTGGTAATGAATTTGCACAAGAAAATATCTAAACATATTCATATGAAATAATATTGTATACAATTTATCATTAAAATATGCTGTAAATAAAGTATCTTGCCCAGCTTACCGATTGTAGCATTTATATAAGGTAGGAATTTTCACTTAGAAGTAAACTTTCAGCTGACTCAAGCCTTTATTTACAACTGTATGAATATGTGATGTATTTTTTAGCTTTCATATTTTAATAAATGCTGAGATCTTAATTTTGGCAGTCTTCAGCCTGTGACATGTGCCACCTCTAGTTTGGTATCACAAGGGATATTCCCTACGGCTAAAAAAATCCTAATAAAGCTTAGTAATGCACTTAGTATGTCAAGCACATGAAATTTGTTTATTGACACTTATTCATCCACTCAGAATTCTCTTCGCTCTTCTTCCCAAAACTACCCCCACTAGAAAATGTTCTTGTTTCATCGCAAATGTTATTAAATCTGGCAGTTGTTATGTTTTTGCCAGGGAATTACAGTCTCCAAGTAAAAGATCACAAATCTGGAGTGCACCAGGCTTCACAGAGTTTTCTTCTTTGTCTTGGAAGAGCCTCAGGGAAGTTGATTCTGCACCCTGGCTAACTTAACTATGTCCTTAAATCAGCCACAAACATATGGACCGATGCTCCATTATCCCTGGCTATGGTTGCATATGATGTTTGCCGTCTCCACAAGGGCAAACTGCCCTCCTTCCCATTTAGGAGTGCATTATTCCTATCTATAACATTTTTAATTCCTGGTATAACAGATTAAGTTTTGTATTACCAGAGAATATAACTTTTCCAGGTCTGAACTAGACAATTTGAAATTTGCGATTTGAAAATATCTTTTAAACTTTATTTTTTTCATGGCTGCTCTATCATGCCAAAAAGTTCCTTTGTGGTTTAAATCTGAAAATGTGGAAAGGTCAGTCTTCTATCCTACAGCATTAACTTACCTTGCACTAACTGGGCAATAGCTGAGAAAGGAAGATGCTGTGTAGATAGTCTTTATTCCAAAGCATACAGTTATTTTTAAGACCATTTTGCCCTCATCAGAGCTTGCAGTTTATTGACCCGTAACTGATGAGTGGTTTGAATAAGGCACTGAATAATATATAATAATATAATGCATAAATGTGATGTTATTTCTCTTCATCTCATCCTTTTCATCAGCGATCCAAGACTAAGTTGCCTGAGTGACATTTGTAAATAAAATAAAATTTGGAATGGTTTTCTCCTGTTTTTTTGTCCAGTTGCGTTCAGGAGAACCAGTTATTATAAATCTTTTAAAGCATGCCGAAAACAATGTTCCAGGGGCTCTGCTCCTGTTGCTCACCAATGCTTTCTTCCTCCCGGCTCTCTACATAAATCTTGGCTTCCTCTCTTCCCAATACGCACTTGGTTTCTGACACAGAATTTACATCTGTCCCATTTTCCAGCCCCGCCTCAGCAAAGCAGACTGTTATCACTCTTGCAAAACATCCTCTCCCGCATCCTGTGCAAATCAAATTGATTCATGTAATTTCCCTGTAAATTCAATCATGAGCTAAGCTATTTTTCTTTCTTGTCAACCCAGACACTAAAAAAAAAGTAATTCTTTCAGATGAAACCTCTTAATGAGTTTTCAGGGTCATGATCAAGGAGCCATTTGAATTCACATTCTTTTTTTTTCTTTTTTTTTTCCTTTCTCAAAATAGGCCTATTTTGTCTAGTTGGTCAAGAATTGGCATAGCTTACATTTTGAAATTTTGAATACCAAAAGTTTTATGAGCAACAGAGTTAAATAGCAGAAAACCTGTTAGAACGTGGGAATTGCCTTTGTCAAATGAATGCTTCTATATATTTTTAAAAGTTTTTTTTTAAAAAAACAACTTATACTATGAATAAAAAAAGCCAAAACTGTAGCAGTCCACAACAATTGCACAATTAAAGCATAAGAAAATAAAGCACATCCTCAAATCCCAAACCTAAGACACAAATAAAAGAATTTTCATTCTTTACACATATTTATGTTTCATTCTTTAGATGCATTTATTTATACACCAACATATAACAGTGTGAGCTAATATATAAAAAGAAAAGAATGAAAACAAGAAACAAAGCAGTTTTCAAATGCTCTCCCATGCACTGAACTTTATTATGAGAACTATATAATCATTTATTAGGATGAATTAATAATGCAATTTTGCTTTTTTTTTCAAGGACACTTTTCTTTGCCCCTGCAACTTAAATGATTGATTTATTAACATCCACATTTCTAAGTAATTAACATTTACTATTCAAAACTTTCCCCAGCTTCAAAATGAAAACGAGGCTGAAATACTTTGGCATTAAATATGCTGTAAATTAGTATTAGAGAAGGCTAAATCATGGCTTTGCTTTAACACTGCCAGTAATTTGTGCTGTATTGTGTTGTACTGTAGCTTTGAATGATGTCCGGTTATGATGATAGAGCTGAGAAAGCGATGTAACGTTTCTATATTTTTGAGAAAAAAATAGACTATCAATTATGGAAAAAAAAAAGTGCTTAGAAAAATGGTATGATGCTACAGATTCACTGATGTTAGAGGTTCACTCCTTATAATTTATTACTTTGTATAGAGATAACATATTCAATTTCCGAGAAGCCAGAATATTTTTCAGTTGTTCTAGAAAGTCACAAATAATTGCTGTGGAACTGATGCAAGGAGTTAACGATTACTCTGTTTATTATGCAGAATACTACAGTTTCGTCTCTATAAAAAAAAATTCAAGGAGACTTTGAGGCCTTATGATGTAAAGGATGTGATAGAGCAATACTCAGCAGGGCATCTTGATATGCTGTCCAGAATAAAATACCTTCAGACAAGGTAAGAGTGCTCCAGAAAATGGGGGAAATATATATAGTTGGTTTGGGCTAGCCGTAGAAAAGGGTAGCTGTTATGTTTAGATATAATATATAGAGATACATAGTATCTGGACTTGCAGCCTTGGGGTAAATCCTGATCATCATTATCCAGCGTAAAATCTGATGGGGCCCTCCTGACATTGTGAGGAGTAACTGTTGTTGGAGATCTACCACATTAGGATCAATGATCATCCCACTAATTTAAGTCCCTTTGCAGAAAATAAAGTCTTGTGTTTTAAAAGTCAAAGTTAGAAAACAGGAGGCTGCTTGGATGACCATAATCATCCAATGTACTTGTGGTGGAGCTAGACCAGAACCACCATGTTGTGACCCTCAGTATGTTACCAAAACCTAAACATGCTTGCATTTTCAATTTTTGCTATTGATTGCTGCAGAGACAAGTAACAGTCTCTGTTCTGTATTAGCATTTAGAGATGGTCTTAAACACCTGCATCACGTTCTACACTTTTCTTTTTTTTTTTTTTTTTCAGAGTAGATATGATTTTTACACCTGGACCTCCATCTACTCCCAAGCATAAGAAATCCCAAAAGGGAGGAGCTTTTTCTTACCCTTCACAACAGTCTCCCAGGTGAAATTATTCTGCTTAGTATTTTGCACAGACCGAAACAAAAATAAAATGTCCTTTCATACCCCAAAATAAGTTTTCATTCAACCAGCCAGTACAATATTATAGTAATGATGTAAATGTTGAACCAGAATAACACTACCTTCCCTAAGAACAATCTACGATGGAAATTTAAATGTAATTGGTGTCTTAATCATCTATTTGCAAATGTGATTATATATGAAGTATGTATATTTGATTGCTGATTTGCTGAATTTTTGAACAGTCAGCTGCTAAAAATTAAAAACTCAATCTATCTAAATCATGAACTAACTCCTGAACAGGGAAAAAAAATAAAAATAAAAGAGTTTCGTTATAGCTTCCTCAAAATGGCAAGCACTGAGTTTTAATAACATTGTTTTTAAATCAATGACTGATGAGAATTACTGCAAATAAACTACGGCGACAGGTTTCTGGGTATGAAAGTGGCAGCATGTTATTGCTGCATTGTTAGTAGCAAGACTTCAAAAATAGATAGCATTTTTTCTCCTACTTGCAAGTATCAGTCTGCCGATAAATACCTTCTAAAGAACCACAGGTACAAAGCCAGCAGCAATCTGTTGCCAAAGCTGTTACTGTTGCTCAGAACAGCTCTAACCCTGCAGAAAATATATTAAATGTGGGCTCTTTTTCGTTCATCCTACTCAGTGAAAAATCTCAAAGCATGTAAATATGAGAGCAGAGCTTTATATATATATGGAAGAGGCAATGATCATTGGGGAAAAGAAGCAGATTGCAAAATTTGCATAAACCCCTGTTAGTGATAACCCAGTGTACAAAATGCGAAGGATTTCAGTTACAGTTTCTGCTTTAGTAAGATATATTCACAGCTATGAATTTTCATTCTGTCAGAAGGAGAATGAATTGGAGCTGTCAAAACAAAAGGTTTGGGGTGTATTTGTTCTATGTCCTGTTAGGAACATGCGCTAAGAAACAGGTTTTCTAGCCTTTGTACATAGCATAAAAACACTAATTTGAAAGACTAATTTAAAGGAACTGGATTTTAAAATACATGTCTGTCCGTAGTCTAACGGTTTGGGCTGTCTCAAATTTTTTCATAAGCCTCGCATTATTCCAAGAAGTCCAAGGTTAATTTCACTTTCATTTTGATCTTTTTGTTTGCTCTTGCTTTGTGTTAGTTGCTTTATGCTAGTCTTAAACACAAAATAATTTTAAATTAAAAATCAGCAGTTTTTGTAACTTTTTTTAGAAATATGTAGAGTGTTTTGCTATTTATCCAATTCATGCCATAAATAATTAAGTCCAATCTTGTCTAAGAAGAGGCTCTTGTGTGCTATACTAATATTGCTCCAAACCTTTACTTCTGGTTTCTTATGTATATTATTTGTCATGATAAAAGGAAAATGAGAACACTAATAGTGTTTTTAATTCTTTATAGAAATGATCCATATGTAGCCAAAGCATCTACAGCAGATACTGAAGACCAAAGTATGATGGGCAAGTTTGTTAAAGTTGAACGACAGGTATGTCATTTCCTGATAAAGAAATTAAGGCATTCATCTGATTTTCTGTATTCCTACACCAAATGCAAAATACTGTTACTGCATATCAGGCTTTGTTCTGGTGTAAAGTCACTTGAATTTGATTGGAAAAACAAATATTGACTTTCTACTATCAGTTTTAAACTGAGTCAAATATTGTCTATCCATGCATCTATCTTTATGTTGAACCAGATAGAGTAAGGCTCCATCAGCCAGAACCAAAACAGTATAAAAGCTAGAGATGACATAAATTCAGTATGATTTTTTGTTTGACCCAGTCAGATTGGTACTCCTACGTGATCAAGAGGCACAGAGACATTAAATTAATGATCACAAAAAATTGTGTCAATAATTTGCCATGAGAGTGCTACTTAATTGGGAAGTGTGCTTACTGAAATCTGTTGAAGTAATATTGCATATGGTGGGAAGACCCTAAACATGATGCTACGTGTGACCTTTTTTAGTTTCCTTAAACTCATGCTCATCTGGTGTTTCACAATGAGCAGGACAGTGCCTTTTGCAGGGTCTAACGCTCCAAAGTGTTCAATCCTCAGGTATTTCTGAGCCCTCTTTATGCAATCCTAACAGTTATCCAACTAATCAAGTGACTGTTACTTCTAAATACATAATTAAATAAGATGGAAGCAAATGACATTAATTGACATCAGTTTCTTTCATGAATGCAAGCATTCAGGCACAAATAGCTACCACAACGAACAAGGAAATTAATCCTGACGTTTAGCCCTGACATGCAGGGACTGTTAAGAGTATAGGTCAGTGTGCAAAGATAATTCTATCTGTTATCCTTTGGTAATAGCTTTCTGCAGTATATTATGATAACTCTCCATAATGTTTTCGACTCCCTTTGGAGTATCCCTGGACTGTGTAAACTGTCATCCACTGTGGTCCAGCTTCCAAGAGAAAGTCAGGATGACCCTGCAGGTGCCTTTATGAACAACAGCCGTGGCAGCACATGATTCCTGGCAGTGCACCTATTAAAGTGTTGACTTTTTCATTGAGTAACTGACGACAAGTCATAACATTGGTATTTTTCAGGTTAATGACATGGGGAAGAAACTGGATTTTCTTGTTGATATGCATATGCATCATATGGAACAGCTGCAAATACAAGTTGCTGAGATAAGTCCATTGAAAGATACTGTTTCTTCTGCAAAGGAGAAGAGAGAAGAAAACAAATACTCTGAATTAAAAACAATAATATATAAATACACTGAGCAGTGTACTCACGAAAATCCTCATAATTTCCAGCAAGTTCCAGTCAACAAAGTCAGTCCTTATGGTTTCTCAGCACACGGTCATACGACTCGTTCACAACCTCTATCAATAGGTGGGCAAAACTCTGGCAAACTGCACGCCACACCTTCCTCAACTTCATATGCAGAAAGGCCAACAGTTTTGCCTATTTTTACGTTAATGGACTCCCAGGTTAGCTACCACTCCCAAGGAGACCTGCAGAGCCCTTACTCAGACAAGGTGTCTCCAAGGCAGAGGAGGAGCTTTACAAGAGACAGCGATACTCCGTTATCCCTTCTCTCTGTCAACCACGAGGAACTTGAGCGCTCCCCAAGTGGCTTCAGTATCTCCCAAGACAGAGATGACTTCCCTTTTGGCCCAAACGGGGGATCCGCATGGATGAGAGAGAAACGCTACCTAGCAGAGGGTGAGACGGACACAGACACTGATCCTTTTACACCAAGTGGCTCCATGCCTTTGTCTTCAACAGGGGATGGGATTTCAGATTCAATATGGACCCCGTCAAATAAGCCAGTTTAAAAGTGTTTGTGGGGCAGTCACTGGATGACTTCTCCATGTAATGTAAGCATACTTTGTATATCTCACTTACTGTACACCCAAAGCTTACTAGTTCGAAACACCAATGGCTGCATAAGATGCATGTGGTATTAGTGGTAGTCATTCTGCACCATTTCATACAATTTACTGATGCAGTTTTTTTTCATGCTACCAAAACTAAGGAGCTTAGTTTTGAGCATGGTTTGCATGACTTTACCCTATATAAATGGTACAGCTGAATTCTTCTATGATACATATCTATCTGATACTCTTCAATACAATAATGGTGGATTGATAACAGGCAAGATATGATGGCCCTTGCTACTTTTTGTAAACAGAGCAGCAAAGTCAAAATAGTTTCAGGGGCCGTATCCCTCTATGGAAATAAATCTGAGTGTACATTCCAGTGTAAGTAAATCAACCTCTATCCAAACTAGCCAAGCGCATCCTACATTCTAAGCAAGGAAAAAGCTGAGTCAAAATAAATGACCATTCTGGAATGATTTTGTACGCTAAATGTTTCTCACGTGGACTCACATGCATAATTTAAAAATGATCAAAGCTACCCACAGAAATTAGCCATGGGTATTACCCTACTGCAAAATCTAAATCTAAATCCCCCAAACTATTTTGAAAAGCTCCACTAACGGTTATGAAATTGGTAAGTCTAGGGAAAGGGAAATCTAA